ATGAAACCGAGTTTAAGATATGCTTACACACAAACTTTAAATCTGGGATTACTAGTATACAGTTTATCAAAATTTCCGAAGAATATCAACAAAAAAGTACATTAACACAGGCAAGAACTCTGTTAAGGATTAATACTTTAGTTTATAATCCCCAAAGACCTTGCACTTCAGTTTGAATTGCGAGCTGAGTTAAGTCTTATGCACTTTGATGAATCTTACAGAGAAACTATAGAACTAGGGCAAGGACATACAACATCATTTGCGGTGAAAGGCAAGAAGAATTGATTAATATTTTTATTTCAAGGGGTCTGGGCCCCTTTTTTTAAAAGACTTTCTCACGACCACAAAGATAAAAGAGGGAGAATATGTTGGAAATTTTGCAAAGATTTACAACAAGGGAATCTTATGTTGAGTCTCCGAATGTCCTGTGCTATGATAACACAAAACAAATAATATACATAGAAAGATTAATTAATATTTTCTTACAAAAAGGAAACTTCAACTTACTTAATTTAGCATTTTCTTCTTTGTTATTGTTAACAAAATAATTTGGATACTTCAGTATATACTGCACATACGTGCGTCACAGAAAAATTACTTCTATGAACATGATGAATGAACATAGAGCCACAACGCACAAAGAGGGATAAACATGTCTAATATTTATTTCTATTACTTCTTCTGCTTATGATTTTGTAGATAACGAACAGTGATTAATCTCGAAGATATCTATAAACAATATACATCTTTTGAATAAACATTAAACAAGGATCCCTGGCAATGCTGAAGATAGAATCTAGTGCCTAGGAGGAGTAAACATAGAATTTAGTGCCTAGGAGGAGTACCCTGTTGACCGGTAACACGCGCCGTGAGTCCTATGTATAAATAAGAATAACATTGACAGAGTATTCTGTAGTCAAAGTAAATAAATTCAGTTTAATAACAAAGGCCTAAAAACTGGTGTGATAATATTCAGCCTGAGTACTATCCAATGAATACAAATATTTCGAAGAAATGAATTATGAAGTTATTAAGCCAAAAAATCCATTGAAACATTACAGATCGTGAGCAGAGCAACCACGGACCACATATGAATTGCTATACTAGTATGGAGGAGGAGAAAGTCTCCAGTTTGCAGATCCCACAAGTCGTATGCTCTGTCATAATCTATTAAACGAAAACAAATCGGTAGATAGTTCAATGTTAAAGTAATGGCCTTATATCTAGCATGAAAAAGTAAGAATTTGATTTAAGGAGGCTGAGATGTCAACAAATTAACAGCAAATTAACCACAAAATATAACTTAAGTTTTAGATATGATATCTTTAGCTGTCAACAATCATTCGACAAAGAAAAATTTCATATATATTAGTTTTAAAATTTGATCATTTTTGTATATCTTTATATGGAACTCTTCTTCTAAAGGAGATCGAAAAAGTCTAAAAATGGCCACGACCACTCAGCCCATTTAATGATAAATTGTGATTGCTGACAAGTCCGTTGTACTGACCATGAAACTTGATGAATGATAATTTTGAACAAGACTAATAAGTTAAAACATGGATTTAATTTTTGAGAATTCATGAGGATGTGAACTACGACGCTTCACGTCGGAATGAAAGAGATAGGGTCACAATGGAAATATTCTTACCCATCCCAGAATGATTCATAGTAACATGAACTTTTCCTAATATGCAAAGAAATATAAGGAAAAATGTTCGGGAAAGTTAATATGTCCTTGTTCTTTTATGTTTGTAAAAAGTTTGCGCTAAGAAATTTTCGTATTTAGAGTTAGAGAACGCTCTTGTATTAATCTTATATGCAAGTGACATGGAAATGACGGTAAGCGTAGTTGTGGAAAAAAAAATTAAGTCATCATTTATATAATAAAATTGTTCGTTTAATTTTTCTTTTTATTATTAATGTTTTTTCTTATACAACAGTAAAATTAAATGACAGTTGCAAAGAGTGTGGAATCTGTCAATTTTTGTGGGATATATCGAGTCGACATATCAGTTTCAGTAACAACTGGTAACATCGATATATTTAATTTTCGAGCCGAAAACAGTAGTATTTTTCTTCTTTGCATGTTCTTTTAATATAATAAAATCTGCACTTTATGAATACAAAAATAGGTCTAGTAGTATGGTGGCGCAATTGGTACCCATCGTATGATTATTTTATCTTCATAAAAGCAGATTCATTAAAGTGATTTCATTCGTTGAATTTAAATTAAACCTTATTTTATTCTATCTTAAAGAGCATCCAATTGCAAAGCTTTGTCCTATAGATGAATACCCAGTGGTATCTTCAATTACAATAGAATATCATTACTGGATCAAAAAACATTCTAACAGATGAAACGACGTGAATGTCAGCGAGCATCTGATTCCCACAACTCCCACACGGGGATGAATTGATGATCCTTTTTAAAACAGAAAGTATTTGATAATTTTGAAATCAATTTATGAATCAAACAGAAAGTACAAATAACGGTCGTTTGTATTACCAACAATGAATCCCGAATGAAAGGGCAGATGACGGGGTATTAAATAATGGATACCTACAACTGAAGCTCATCAAGCTTATATCTTTTTTATCGCCTCTTTTATAGAAAAAAATGTTAAGCAGCGTATCTCATGAAGACTATACACATTCGTCAATTATAAATGAGACTGCTATATTTGTAACTAAAAAGTAACTCCAAATTACATGAGGATATATATTTCTAAACCGCTTACCCAAACCTTAAACTGAAATTAATTTAATACACCAATAGATTGAACAGTCATTGCAAATCACATGGTCGACCAAAGTATTATCTATCATAAATAATGAAAGATACGGAGATAACGAACAGTAGTCAATATCAAAGTCCATAAAGCAATATAAAATAGGAGCAGAGCAAACAAAGACCCCCGAAAACTTCAGAGGAGGGATCAGGTGCCACGGAGGAGTGAGCATCCCCTGCCGACCTGTCAAACCGGCCGTGTGCTCATTGTCATGATCGGGAATAACGGAAAAATCAATTCAGTGTGTAAATAATGGACTAAAAATTAGCATGAAAAGCGTCGGCATTTGACTTAATGAGAAATTGTATTTGCTGACAAAGTCATTGTATCGACCATAAAACTTACGAAATGATGACTTTAAACGAGACTGCTGATATTCTTGTTTCATCAACTTGTTTGTCAATAATTTACCTCGTTTTAGAAATTGTTGATACTTAGAGCATGCTCTTGCGTATCGAATCAACTTAGATATATAACTCCGTATGCAGGTGATGAAGATATATTGCTGCATAAGTAAGGGAAGTTGACGATAGAAAAGTTAAATTCATCACGTTTATCATAGAGTTTGGTTGTTAGATTACCATTAACGTCTCTTTCATGTGAAATATCCAAGTATGAAACAGATGTGTCAGACTCTTTGGTAACTTTTATCTCAAGCTTTCCAGGATATATCGTATCCACATAGGAATGGAAATTAATAGTGTTAATTGACAATACGTCGTCGATATATCTAAATGTCGAGTTGAAGGCCATATCAAGTGTTTTTTCTTTTCACGCATAAGAGTTTGCGTAAAGTTTGCTTCGTATGATCACAAAAATAGGTCTGATAATAACGGAACGCAAATGGTACCCATGGGAATTTCAGTAGATTGTTGCAGGACTTGGTCTCCAAAAACCACATAGATATTCACAATCTAAAACTCAAGCAGCTTCTTGATGTCATCTTCAGACTACTTGTGTGTGCAATTAGAATGTGTTTTAACAAAATAAATAAATCATTTCTTTCAAGATGTTCAAATGCTTCTTTACTTCATTATCATTGAAACCTTGAATAGTACTATAGACATTTTGAGCAGGTATTCTGGTGGACTGTAAAAGTTAAGAAGGCGTTCTTTAGGCTAAAGTGTCCTCTAGAAATACAATCTTATAGCAAAGTCATTGACATCAGATATGATCCTTTCAAGACTTAAGATTCTCCCGGGGCAATTTTTTGCTTGATATATACTTAATTACACAGATCCACACAGACGCGGAAGCTGAGACTTTTGGTTCATCATCTAATCATCAAATTGCCACCTACTTAAAATTAATCGCTTTTTCCTTTGATAAGATTTCCTCTAAAAAAAGATGAAGTTTGTGGGCAGTATTTAGTATTAAATGAAAATAACCCTTGTCTTAATTAAGAAATATCCTGATAGAAAAAAATGATTACAAGAGTTGATGAAGTACGGCTGAAAATTAACCAAACATTACTTCTAAAGCTATTTTACAAGATTCTGATTTCAAGCGTAAATTAAAACAGCTGACTACATGATTTTGAAATCGATTGATGGATTGAATATTATTGTAACCTCAAATAAAAAACTGATAATTGCAAATTTGAGTCTATATTAGATTTTTTAAAGTTCTATGGTTGATTGAATGACCTTGTCAGCAAATCTAATGCTGACTGACTTTTTATACTGATTCTTAGGCCATTATTGACAAACGAGTTGTCAAAGGATTTTTCAGAGTTTTTCCCCAAACATAACATTGCGCACACGGCGGATGTGACAGGTCAGCAGGGAGTGCACACTCCTAGGTCCGTGTTTGCTCACTCCTATTTTGTAATGCTGAATGGACTTTGAGCTCAAATGCTGCTCGTAATATCCAAATATTTTCATTACAAATTCGATACAGGTCGAGTCCAGATATAAATAAAAAAATCTATTGTTGATTGATCTAGGTATACCGTATTATAACTTTCATTCATACATACAGGGATCATCGTGTAAGATGAATTCTGTCAGTGGAAAATCGTCAAATTCTTAGTTTAATTTTTACATGGACCAGTACTTAAAATACAAGTGTTTCTGTTACATGTACATGTGTATGCGTGAGATTTCTCATTAAAATATCTTTGAAGAAAGGTCTCTTGGCATTCTGCATTAATGTATAGATAGCAAGTTAAGCTTTTCAATCTACTTTTAATCTAGGCCTTTACTCCACAAACAATTGAATGAGCGCATAAAAATATTTATTTTTCAAATTACAAAAGTACTTTATATTGAACAATTAAATAGGCTTGTATTGTATACGATACTATAATTAAAAAAGAAAAGCATGAACACATTTCAAATTGGCTGGATTATTAAAGCATTGTAACACATCAGGTCCATGATTGGCTGAATTTTGACAACAGTTCTATGACGTCATCGTCGTCTGCGTCCTTGGCGTCGTCTAATATGGTCTGTCCGTCAGAGTTGGGGAGATTTTTATCAGCGCCCGCCCTCAGTAGAAGTTTCATGCTGTCTGTGTTACTGTTGCTGTAGGCGTGCCATAGTGCTGACTTCCCCATGACGTCACAGTGATTAACGTTACAACCATGCTAGGAAAAATAGACACACACTTTGTCATTAATTAAAAAAAATCTAAATCAGACTACAGATATTTTAATATTTATTCATGATTCTATGTATTTACTTACATAAAAAAGACAAACAAAATACCAAGTTACATTAACATTTGTATTTCCACTAACACGGTTTTACTAAACCATGCTTCACTGTGAAAAAAATTTAACTGAAATAAATGATTTTTCTGATGATACCATTGTATGAATTGGCGACTGATCTAGCCACTTTGGAGCCCGTTTTCCCTTTAGCGCCTCAAGTTGTAACATGAGTGGCAACCATTCAGACTGCGCATAAGACATGTTTTGGGACTAGACACATTTTGTTTGAATAAAATTTCATAGTCATCAACTAAATGAGACTGTTGAAAATGTACATTTGGTTCAGAACTTTAAATTTAAATTCTTGTGGGGGGGTTGGAGGGAGGGTGTTGACTAGGTCTTCTTGAAGACTTCATCATATGCATCATTGTCAATATATTTAGTGTTTGAATACTCATGCTTAAGGAGCAATAGGACCTTTCGCTGAAAAAAATCCTGTCAGTGAACTTTTTTCGTATTTTTTATATTACTAATTTAATATGTACTTAACATTTTAGAATGGTCCTGTCATGGGATTTCTTGACTTATTTAAAAGATATCGCCCCACAAATACCGCCCTGTTAAAAGTTTGTATGGAGTTTAGATACTTCATGTTTACGGGCCCATAACGGAGTCCATAATGCGAATTTTACGCACAGACGATAAATATGATAGATAACACAATATAATCAAAAATTTCAGAATATTCATAGTGTTAGATTATCTGAAAGCAATTGTTTTAATTTTATATAGTATTTGGGTGGGATAATTTCTGCATTTTTCAAGGCAGCTTCAACGACAAAAAACCTCATTTGGAAAAAAATTCTGTCAATAAATATTTCTAAATTTACGATGGAATGTCAGTCCTTCATCGTAATTATTTACTGCATAAATATCACAGGGTGATGCTTACCTCAATATCGCACAGGAATCGTTGAATTAGACGTAAGCATGATAAAAACGCTTCACGTTCGTATTTTCCGAGTGCGGGAAATCAATTGTGACGTCACACGAAAACATAAACATTCAAAATTATCTAAATAGAGAGAATCTCTGCTACTAAACACGAAAAAATATTAATTTAAAAAAAATCTGCTTCAGAAATTTATTACGATACATTGACTGTGACCTGTTTATTATGAAATAAAATTGATCATGATGGGTGTGTGTACTTGATCTCGCTGCACTGAGAATTCAAACACTACGTCTATGACGTCACTGACGTCAGACTGCAGGGTAAAGAGAAACAAATGTGGGTATTGGACAACTTCACAATATCTAAATGATGGCAAGACCTTTAAAAATTTTATTAATAATAATTTCTAAAATTAAATGTTTATAAAACAATTTTAGAATTTAGAATAAAATTACACAAGGACTGTTGATTTTAACAACGTTTAACATGTATATATCATCACCGATTATGACGTAATATGTCTTTTTATAGTCATGTGGCATGTGTCCTGTCTCCCCTTCATTGCAATACTTTAATTCCCACCTTTAGTCCTTGTTTATCCTTATTCAAATTAACAAAGAGACAGCAGATTTGAGTGGTTTCTATGGCGCAATCTAGCGACCCTCGCAATCTTATTAAATTAAATAACAGCCAAGCTGAAGTTACTGATTCGTTATTAACAAAATAAAAATCATTATTCGAAAGTTTTGCAAAATTTCATTTTTGGCCCTCGTTGTTAAAATTTAATCTTTTGTATTACGGGGCCATGGCTCCTTCAAATTTATAACAGCACCTTAATATTTCTGATTAAGTATCATGAACCAGCTTTTATTTTGATTTTTAAAGATCAAAATCAGGCATCCAAAACTAACCTTTAGCAGTACTTTGATGATGTCATCGTTGTCATTGCTGGCTGCTGTAATAAGAGGAGTGTGTTGATTGGACGGGAGCACGAAGTCCGAGTCTGCGCCTGCGTCAAGTAGAAGATGACAGATGTCGCTGTATCCACACTTGGCGGCAGTAAACAAAGGACTTTCTCCATTGCATCCTTGTATGTTTACATTACATTTACCCACTGTTGTATGGTAAAGACAAAATATTATTTTGTATTTAAAATATTATTCGCTAAACTATAAATTTTTAAGCATTAAAATTAATGAAAATATTTAAGGAATGAATTTTTTATTTCTTAGCCTTTTTCGAGTATAACCTATACATGTAGTTTGGATCAGTTTGCGATTTATAATCCGCAAAGCCATGGCCTCCCAAATGAAAAAAAGAGGGAAACAAAATACTATAACAAACTACTTACAAAACATATGTTTTGAAAGTATTCCGATAGTATAGCAAATCACATGCAAATGAGCTAACAAAACACTATAACAAACTACTAACAAAACACTTTTACAAACTACTAACAAAACACTTTAACAAACTACATACGAAACACTCTAACAAACCACTAACAAAACACTTTAACAAAATACTTAGGAAACACTCTAACAAGCTACTTACAAAACGCTTTAACAAAATACTTACAAAACACTCTAACAAACTACTAACAAATCATAAGCAACAAATCATCAATAAACCACTAAATTTGAATTTTTAAAATTATAATTATAAACACCTTGTTTCACAGTATTTTGAATTCCAGGATTGACATTATTCTTCAATAGAAAATAGCACACAATTCCGGGCCAACATTTAAAAACTTGAGAGATATAATTCTTAAGCCATATTGACCACTTCCCCAATCACATACATTTTCACAGAATTTTAAAGTATAATTATAATTCATCATTTAATCCAGTGCTTAAAACTGATATAAGCTGGGTAGTATATGATTAAAGGTCAATCTTAACATGAACAAAACCCCCCAAAAACAGGTCATATATGTACACATCCACATTCACAGATTGAAGGTTACTGTAGTCCGGCCATCATAAAAGAACTTTATCTCATGCAATAAATAAATACCTCTGTTATATCCAGATACATCCTAATTATGCTTTTTCCAATCAGGGATCAATATACATGTATATACTTTACATGTCCCTTCATCAATCTCTATGTTTCTCTCTGACCTTAAGTGCCGGTGGTTTGAAAATTGGCGCAAAACTAGTAACACAGGATGAAAATAGATAAGTTGTTCTTGGAAGATTTTACTGCACCTAGATAATTCAACCCTAAACCATGTCTGTTAATCAAATGAAATGCTAACAAAATATTACTTTGATGCAGACAAGTATAATGAAACACTTTCAAAATGCAATTTCATTCTGCAGAGTGTAAAGAAACATTAATAAAACACCAACAATGTAATGAAACATTAACAAAATACCATGCCACTCCATCCTGTAAAGTCTTGCATTGATGTTTCATTAAATGCAACACTTTCAAAACATACTAAGAAAATATAAAAGAATGATTTGTTAGTGTTTTGAAGATATTTTGCAAGTATTTTGTTAGATTTCTTTTTCATTTGGGAGCTAGGCTTGATTAATTGCCCTTTTTGTCAAAATTTTAAAAATCCTGGCATTGTGTCTTTATTGTATATATATACTAGTATATATGATAACAGCTGCAGACTGTAAGTCAGTGTAGATCTACTGGGAAATCGTCATTGTTTGTGAGGCACCATAGTTAATGGTTTTTGGGAGTCACCCTTACAAAAACAATATTTTAAAAATTGAATTCATTCGATTAATCAGCAGATTTATGCACAATTCTTAAGACAAGTTAAAATAATATCCTATCGTTTACAATGAGATGAAAGCTCTTGCGTTTTTCAATTTCAAAATTCGACAGTGTGCCACTTGCAATTAATGATGAGATTTAAGCTCAAAGAAATAAACTGTTTTTCTGTTTTGTTTATCAATATATATTTCAGTTAATCCTACCTTTGATTAATGTAGAAACTACGTTTTTGTTGTCGTTTTTTACAGCTTCACAGAGAGGCGGCTCTCCATTGGACAGGACAGTGTTCGCATCTTCCCCTTTGTTTAAAATTTTTGTAAGAACCTGTGAAACGTATTGTTAAAGTCAGTAATGAAAAAAAATGTTTGGAGTAACATTTTCCATTTTCAACTTTCACCTTGCCTCTTTATTTGATATATTGAAAATTTTGGTGCATGGGTATAATTTTCAAATCATTTTCCTCACATTCTAAAAAAAAAATTCAGTTTCAGAGATTAATTGTAAATATTTTTTTAACATTCAAAACTTCGAGGGAAAACTCGTTTAAAATAAGATTGCAAAAGAAAAAATGTCAATAATTTTACTATATGTTTCTAATTGGTCTTAGTGGGTTCATGTTTAAAATATCTAATAAGAATTTTTTAAATTTTATTTTGCTCAATGACAGTAAGTCAGAAATTAATAATGCTAGTCATTATTAAGTTACTTTAATGAGATTCTTGCGTAGACAGTCCTCAAATGGCGAGGCGCTGTTTTTGTCGTGGAGGTGAACATCACATCCTCTGTCTATCAGAAGTAAAGCTTCGTCTTCATACCCTGTGTAACAGAGAACCAAGCTATGTCAAAACTAAGTGTGAGATTATAACTTCTATAGAGTGAAAAAAACTTTACAAACAAGCAATTATGATAAAAGTCATGGGCGTGATAAAGCATATGGAGGTAACGAACAGTATACAAGATCAAAAGTCCATAAAACAATACAGAATAGGAGCAGAGCAAACAGGGACCTCCAAAACATCAGAGGTGGGATCAGGTGCCATGGAGGAGTGAGCATCCCCTGTCGACCGGTCACACCCGCCGTGTGCTACTTGTCATGATCGGGAAATAACGGATAATCCGTCGTCAATTCAGTGTATAAATAATGGAATTACAATAATTATGAAAAGCGTCAGTCAGCATTTGACTCGATGATAAATTGTACTTGCTGTCAAGGTCATTGTATCGACCATAGAACTTACGAAACGATGATTTTAAACGAGACTGCTGATATTCTGACATTCTACTCATAGGCGTCAGAACCGGGGAGGGGGGGGGGGGCTAGGGGGATTTAGCCCCCCCCCCACTTTTTTGCAAAGATAGACAAAATTATAGGCATTAAAAATTGGGTCTTGCCTTTTTTTGTTGGTTTAGCCCCCCACTTTCAATTAGCCCCCCCCCCCTTCAATTTGCTTCCGATGCTCTTAGCATGCTCTTGCGTATCGAATCAACTAAGATATATAAACTCCGTATGCAGGTGATGAAGGCTGCATTAGTAAGGTGTTGACGATGGAAATTTTAAAGTTAGTCATCATGTGTATCATAGAGCTTCATTGTTAGATTACCATACAAGGTCTTTTTCAAGACGTTAAAAATATCCAAATATGAAACAGGTGTGTTAGAAACAGGCACCTCATTTTTCTTGTGGACTAATAAAAAATATACCCCGTACCTGCATGTAATGATAAAGTTAGGTATGGGGTATATTTTTTATTACCAAAAAAAAAATAAGTAAGGTCAGGTGTCTGTGGTGCCAGAGTCTGTGGTATCTTTTATCTCAAGCTCCTATCGAAATAAGAAGGGAAATTACCATTTTTAATTGCCAATACGTCGTCGATATCTAACGTTAACGTAACGTTAAATGTGGAGTTGAAGACCACAGCAAGTGTTTTATTCTTTTCACGCAAACGATTTTGGACAAATTCTGCTTCATATCAATACAAAACTGAAGGTAAGTCAGAGTCATGAACACAGACGCTTGTTTAAAACAGTATGCTAGTTTTCTACCCTATATATGTATGAAACAAGCTCCTGTGGGCATGAACATGAAACAGAGATAATTTGAACCGTGTTTACCTTTTTGTATAGCGAGTTGTAGCGGTGTCCACCCGTAGAACATACAGTTTATATCCACGCCGCTGGTGATAAGTCTCTCTATTTTCTCTTTGTCTCTGTTTCTTACTGCCAAATGTAGCTGTTGCTCATCGTTAGCCATTCTAAATAACTGGATAGCGTCGCTGTAACTATGTAACATGTATAAGAGTTACCTCTCTTTCCATGCAACTAAAAAAAAAATCAAAGTACAGAAAGTGTTAGGAGTATACCGGGGAACACCTTTGTTGCATGGACAATGGTGAGCCACATAGTTGACATTATTTTTGACACTTTACCTTCCTTTGTTTGTATCAATGCAATATGATATGTACATAATCTAATGCTCTAATTTGTTCTACCTAAAATCTATTATAGAGGAAATTAAAGATGAATGAATGAATGCATACGTTTAATTAAATCTTTAAGAAGTTTTTTTTTTTTTTTAATTGACTTATACGGTGCTGTGTTTTAAGGACAGGTAACTCAATGTGAAAATGACCAACTAAGTGCCGATTTATGAATTTTCTTTTATGTAGGAATGACATGCGATAGTGATGATTTTATATTGATTTTAATTAAAAGTGTTTTTCTTTAAGATGTCATTGAAAGTTTTGAAATAACTTTCAGTAATAAACTTGATTTAAAATAAATATGTTCATCTATAAATATTAAACATATAAATAAAGTTAAAACAACTTACTCTAATTAAAGTCTGAAAATATCTAGAGTTCTAAATTAAAACTGAACTCAGTCTTAACCTTGAATAAATTAAAAAAAAAGTAAAAATACCCATTTGTCAATATTATCTACTTTAAATGAATAAGCAGTCTGTAGTTCTGACCAATGAAAAAAAGGAAATTTGCAGGTCCATTTTCATTAAAGAAAAAAATGCAGCTTTTTACGATGTCTCGTTTAAAATTATCTTGGGCAATGGATGAATAAAGTATTTTTTATTTTTAACTTTTCGTAAAGTTTTTTTGAGTTAAAACCTTTCCAATATATTTTTGTTTTACAGTAGGCCTACTGATAAACGCTGAAACTTTCGATTTTATCACAAATTATTTGTAATCGTTAGAGATTAAGTGATGAAGTCATTTACAGATTTGTTGCTGTAACGATGTACTTTTACGTACTTCTCTGCACGTGTTAATATTATATTTATGCTACATAAATACATTTTATGAGATGAAGTGTTTTATAGGAATTAAATCAAAATGCATAAATGGTATAATGTACTTCATTCTGTGATACATATCTGAAGTTTTCATCCATTATTTGTACACTGAATTGACGACAGATTTTCCTGTTATTTCCCGATCATGAAAAGGATCACAAGGCGGTTGTGACCGGTCAGCAGGGGATGTTGACCTCTTCGGGCGACTTCGATTCGTACCCGAGTATTAACTCTTGGTTGACATCACATGACCGGATGTTTACACAAACATGTGGTTTTCAAGCGAACTCATGTGAGTTTGAAGGGTAGCGAAAATAATGGCGTTCATGTTTGCTCTGTGCGATAATTTTATCAATAAAGTGACAATTTTGCGCATTTTTTTATTCTTAGGAATTCAGGCTCTAAGACCATAAACTGAGAGTAAAGTTTAGATTTTGAATATTTTAATAATTATTTAATGCACATGCTTAAAAACTTTTAAGTACACTGTATTTGAAAAGAAACATAACTTGAATATTTTGTTTCATTTGAAGTAGATTTATTTTCATCTTATTATTTTTTTAACATTTCATTAATGAACTGCAAATAATGCATACTCCATGTACCCATTTAAAAAATGTACTTTGGAAAAAAAAATGAATGAGAATTTTAACTTTTTGCAGCTACAATGTAAACTTTTGATTTTTTTTTATATTTCGTAAAGAAAAAAGTAAATCTGTTAATTTATAAACAACAAGCACTTGTTCGTTTTTATTTATACTATTTTCTAATTACTTTTTTTTTCCTCTGTGAGATTTAAAAGGCAGTCAAATAGGTCCATTTTGACATCATCTGTTGTGTTATTTTTTTTTTCTATAGCTTTTGCTGCAGTTGAAATTTTTTTTCCAGCTCTGATTTTTTTGGTTCGAATTTGAATTTATGTCTGCTGTTATCGGGCAGTAAGCCTGAAAAATCTAATCAAATAAACATATATTCATATACATTGTAAAGCTTTCATGTAGAAAGTGCGTTTCGAAGTTTGCTTTTAAGGATTAGCGATGCTAAACATCATATTTTGAAAAAAATAATTCCTACAGTTCGGGTATTTCTTTTGACGCCGCCATATCGAAACTCTAGTAATCCTACTGTATGGCTGGGTTAGCTTGGGTAGAGTTCATAAGCTCATATGACGTAATTTGAGTAGTAACTATGGTCGTTCGATTGAAACTCAAGTAACTCGAGTACGTACTCGGGTACGAATCGAAGTCGCCCTTCATGGCACCTGATTTCACCTCTGATGTTTCGGAGGTCCGTGATTGCTCTGCTCCTATTTATGTTCCCCAAACGAAGTTGGGGAACATATTGTTTTTACTCTGTTTCTTATTAAGGTCTTCCGACTTCCTTCGGAAGACCTTACTGTTTTTCTTATGTTTCCTATTATTATTATTTTTCCCTTTTCATAGTACACGTGATTTCTCCGAAACTACTGAACCGATTTCAAAGATTTTTTCAGGAATGATGCATTGTTGTAATATCTCCAGACCTTTTTTTCATTTTTTTGAAAATCACTTCCGGTCGCATTTTTTGTCCGATTTTCTTTTTTTAAGTTGTCATTTTGTCCAAGCATCTTCTTGTAAACCACTCAAGATTGAATCATGATATTTTCAGGGATTATAAAACATCTTATTCAGTTATGCATGACGTCTTTTAATTTTGCATCCGTCACTTCCGGTCGACACAGGAAGGGATGTTTAATTTTAAGATTTTTTGAAAAATTTAACGGGATTGATTAAAGGTAAATAGAACATATATTTTTATTCACAATCCTCAACAAAAAGCATCCATCAGAAGTACTTCCGGTAAAAACCGGATGTAGTCGAAAATTCAAAGTTTTTCCTTTGAGTCAAAATAAATCAAATAAAACGATTGAATTTGAGTTTTTCAATTTTTTTCTGACTTGCTGACTGTGATGTCAGCCGGAAATAATGCCGGAATTGTCAAAAGTCGTCAAATGACGTCACTTCCGGTCAAAACGCGTAATTACTTTTGCACCGAGAATAGTTTGGCAAGAAATATACAACAAAAGTTGTGCGTAATTATGAGAGCTTTCATATAAGATTAAGGAAAAGGGGCTGGCCCCTATAATTAGGCCAGGGGTAAATAGATCATAAACGTTTTTTTTTCTGAGAGCTAAAAATATTAATTTTTTAATGGTAACAGTTATACTATGAAAAATTTTATCTGAAATCATTTCGAATTGATGAAAAACCCTGTCATTTGGTATAAAGATAAACAAACTCCAAGCTATATTTGTTTTTTATAAAACAAATATGTGGGAAACCTTACATGGACAAGTTGTCTAGCTACTGTAGCCAGCCAAGCCTTTACTGTGCCACTAACGCACAGTTTTAGCAGGGACCTATATACTAACATAGGTCACTGGTTTTAGTTGATGCATCAGTAAGATATAGTGCTGATTCGGTGTTTCTCTGTTTTCTTTTTATGCAAGTAATTTAAAATGTGATGTATAGTACATAACAAAAGGTGAAATCAAAATGGGTTTTTTTTCTGCATTTGTATAGGTGTAAACAACGCGCGGCATTGTGGGAAACGGGAAGGTACTAAAGACTTGATATGCTAAAATCCTGATTTGACCTGATTAAAAATTGTCAGTAATATTCCAAACAAATGAATTCTTGTATAACATAATGCATCATAGTCAAAGGTCTTTAAAATAAGACATTTTAAGTACTCAATATTATCATTTAATTTAAAATAAAAACATCGGGTAATTTCAGGTCTTTAGTACATCCGGGTTTCAGTGTGTCCCATCGAAATCGGCAAATCGGACACATGTTCAAGATGTTGATCATGTTTACAAAGTGAAGTTGAGGATTTTCTCACCATACAAGCCGTATGTAAACATGCACGGACATTTTATCTGCAGCTCAAAGTACTTTATCAATCCTCTGGAGCATTATTCTAAGCAAAATTATCCGATTTATATATTCTTGTGTGAATTGTTTACGAGGAAATTCCGACTGTCACAGTAATAAACAAGGATGAACACTCTTGACTCTGTATCGGATTCCCCGGTGATAATTGTATCGAATGATTAAAGAGCTGACGGTTACATTTTAATTTATGATAGGCGTGGACCATGGGAATGAATTCGAAGGTAAGATTTTTGTTTACCTAAAATTTACATTATATTACTATGGCAGCTTAGAGCATTTATCAGCTGTCGATATCTTTAGAAATACACAGACACAGCGATATATTAACTGTTTTACAGTTCAGACGCTCTCAGTTAGCCTTTTAAAATCCCCACAGCTTTAAATTTTATTTAAATATGCGTGAGCATGTAATTTCAACAAGACTTGCTTTCAACATGTTCAAAACAAAATGTTTTTCAACTAATAATATGTTGACGGGTGTGATGTTAGGGTATGATAAGCATGGTAAGGGCAGATACTTATTCACTTTTAATTTAGATCAGGCTTGTCAAACCGCACTAGACATTTGGTGCATCGATGCATGTTCGCATGGACTGAGTTCAATTCAAATTATTTTAATTCGAATTAATTTACTGCGCATTAAATTACTTTGCATTAGCTCCTTGTGTACACACTAACATGACTAAGGTAAGCTAATTCCAATTAAATTTGAGGCATGTGAAATGGCAAAATTAAGTCAAATGCTACATGTTGGTGGTCAGCTTTAAGTACTTGTGCTATTTTTGAGTGAAAAACTAAGGAAAATATAGTGTTAATCACTAAAATGTGAAAACAGACACTGTGACATTATGTCAAGTACATCTGTTTATGCCTAAGGTGACATGATTTGTAAATGATGTCATAAAAGCCTAACTGAAGCCTGCATGACTGTCAAAGTAAAATTTTTATTCGATTTGGTTACTTTGCACTATAATTAGCTGTCATGTGAACACAGTTTGATTCGCATTAGTTTGATTTGCATTTAATTTAGTTTACTTCGCAATAATTTACTGCGAATTAAACTCTCCGTCTGAACAGGGCACTAGACTCTAAAGTCACATGACGTCGTAGTGTAAGTTTGGCCTACAATACCACTTTAAAGCTTGAATGTAGCTCAAAGAAGCAAAGCACTGTGGGTCCAAAGTTACTGCAGAAAAAAAATTAGTATAATTTATTGACAAAAAAATTGCACACAATATAATATTGCTCAGTTAATTAAATCAATATTTTATTATGTCATATGTATGTTTCTTAGTTAAATTGCAAAAGAAATTTGAAAAAAAAAAATGTAATAGTAGAGTTTGCTTTTTTTTGTGATAAGGCTGCAGAAATGGTTTGTGTGTTAATTAGTCTATTGAAAATTTTTCAGTCATTTTATGATGCCACCACTTGGGATAGTAAGCTGCAAATATAGACTTGTACTCAGCACTTATTGCCTTTGAGAAGTAAGGGATCCTTTTCGTGTCAACACCCACACCTACTGTGACACAGAATCTCGGTTTATACAGTCTCTTTGGAGTAACCTGTCTCTAGCATTTAGCAGTAAGTATCAGCTTCTTATTGATACTTTGATTGATAATGTTATCATGAGAATCTCACTCATTCACTCATTTAATATATACTGGTGAATAGCTTCAATATGGACCTTTACTTGGAACTCAGGGTCATTATCCTAACATCTACTGTGAGGTTTTTAGGGTCTAATTCACTACAAATGTTGGGTGCATGGTTAGGGAACATAACTGCGTACATGTTTTTGTCTTAGGTTTGATGCAGTGAATTAAAATCAAGCCCAGCTTCATGATTATACATAGCGATTGCCCTACCACTAGGCTACCATAACAGACAATGATGTATTTGGGTTATATAGTAAAAAACGCTTAGGCAAACACTTATAATGAAAAGAAGCTTATCGAAAATTGAATTTTATTCCCAGTCTTTTTAAAATATATATGGAAAACTAAATGGTGTCCTGATAAGGCAACTTGTTAAAGTGTGTGTTAGGAACAATGTGCAAACACAGTGTTCTCAACACTGTTAGGCTAAGGCAACTTAGAACAACATGCAGTTGTGCTGATGCTCAACATGCTGCCATGCTAAGGCCATTCCAAGTTTTTTCTATGTTTAGCGTCCGTGTGAGCCTTGGTTTTTGACACCCCATGTTAGAAAAAGCAGTCACAACATCAGGAGTCCTGAAATTGATTAATTTTGGCAAAATTGTTGAATTTGTCAATTTCTCCAAATAATTCTGTACAGTAAGTTATATTTGGTGCATTGTAAGCATTTATTCCCTTGTTTTTGCTTAAGAATAGACATTTCTTCTATTAAAGTAGTTTAGTTAGATCAAATCATTGAAAATCATTTTAATCCTGTGTTTTATGTTTTGGCTTCTGTGTTGTTGTTTTTTTTTTGCGAATAGATTGGTAGGTTTTTGAAAGATGGGTGGACGCTAAACAGAGAAAAAACTTGGAATGGCCTAATACAACTTTACACAATCTATTTATATGTGTAAGCTTGACGGCGTAGTGTAAACAGCCTGCTGAAACTTTGTTACACACGCACTAAGTACATTGTCACTGTGTTGTCATAAGCACACTAGCCCATTCTCATATTAGCGTGACAGCACATTTTTACTTCACGCTAGCATGTAAGTGTCTTAAACAATTAGCATGCTGTCATAAACTTCGTAGCATGGTGTTTTAAATGAGCTAGAGCAGCATTGTTACTTTGCGCTAGCTTATTGTTTCTTATGCGATGCTGTTTTGTCAGTTCATTAGTGCATTGTTCCTAATGTGCTGTAACACCTTTATGAATGGCCTTATCCTGACACATAAAAAATCATAACCAGATACCATCTTTCTGACTGATTAGTCGGTAAACAACTGTTAACCATTACCATTCCTAATAAATTTTGACATGAACAAGTTATGTACATACCCTTTATTTGAAATCATGAAAAACTAATATGTTATTTATTACATCCTCAAATGACTGCCTGTAAACCTAAATTTATAAATGATTATAGAGTAGTTTAACAAATAATACACATGCAGAAACGTGACAGTATACATTTATTGACTGAGTTCGAGGGCAACATGCGTTTTGTCGGACCAAAGAACCAAACTGTCTGCCCGAGGCCATAAGGCCGAAGGCAGACGGTTTGGTTCGAGGGTCCGACAAAACGCATTTTGCCCGAGAACTCTGTCAAAAAATGTTTGTAATACCTTTCATTTTATTATATTTTTTGACATACATGTATTTTGTACTATATTCCGTAATATAACATTAGATCTGTCATTGTTTAAAACCAAAGAATGAAAATGGGATTAAGCTCCGCCCATTCTGTGACGTAAGCGGTCCAACATCTCTCCGAGCGGTCCAACATCGATTTTTTTATGCCCGCTCAGCAAAACATTAAAAATTTTAGACTTTTTAGCTCTACTGGTCAGAGACCAGAAGAGCTTATGCGATAGTAATGCGTCCGTCTGTCTAGCTGTCCGTCTGTCTGTAAACAATTTTTCAAAACGCTACTCCTCCTAATTTTAGTCTGATTTCAATATAACTTGACACACAAGTAGACTACACTAAGATACATAGAATAGTGCATGGGTTTTTAATTTCAATGAACGGTGTTGCCATGGTTACTAAAAATAGAATTTTCTGTGAAATTCCTTTAAAACGCTACTCCTTCCACAGTTTTGGTCTGATTTCAATATACTTTGGCACACAAGTAGACAACACTAAAAGACATAGAATAGTGCATCGGTTTTTGATTTCGATGAACAGTGTTGCCATGGTTACTAAAAATAGAATTTTCTGTGAAATTTCTTTTAAAACGCTACTCCTTCCACAGTTTTGGTCTGATTTCAATATAACTTGGCACACTAGTAGACTACACTAAGATACATAGAATAGTGAATCGGTTTTTGATTTCGATGAACGGTGTTGCCATGGTTACTAAAAATAGAATTTTCTGTGAAATTCCTTTAAAACGCTACTTCTTCTACAGTTTTGGTCTGATTTCAATATAACTTGGCACACAAGTAGGCTACATTAAGATACATAGAATAGTGCATCGGTTTTTAATTTCGATGAACGGTGTTGCCATGGTTACTATAAATAGAATTTTCTGTGAAATTCCTTAAAAACGCTACTTCTTCTACAGTTCTAGTTTGATTTCAATATAACTTGGCACACAAGTAGACTACACTAAGATACATAGAATTGTGCATCAGTTTTTAATTTCGATGAACGATGTTGCCATGGTTACTAAAAATAGAATTTTCTGTGAAATTCCTTAAAAACGCTACTTTTTCTACAGTTTTGGTCTGATTTCAATATAACTTGGCACACTAGTAGACTACACTAAGATACATAGAATAGTGCATCGGTTTTTAATTTCGATGAACGATGTTGCCATGGTTACTAAAAATAGAATTTTCTGTGAAATTCTTTAAAAACGCTACTCCTTCTACAGTTTTGGTCTGATTTCAGTATAACTTGGCACACAAGTAGACTACCCTAAGATACATAGAATAGTGCATCGGTTTCTGATTTCAATGAACGGTGTTACCATGGTTACTAAAAATAGAATTTTCTGTGAAATTCCTTAAAAACGCTACTCCTTCTACAGTTCTAGTTTGATTTCAAAATAAGTTGGCACACAAGTAGACTACACAAAGATACATAAAATAGTGCAATGGTTTTTGATAAGTGCATACCAGTAGAGCTACAGTCTCGACAGAGACTTCTGGTTTTCTGTATAGATTTGTATAGTAACAATTTTTTAAAGGTATAACAATATCTTATAACTAAGTTTGATGGTTTCTGGTTTTCTGTATAGATTTGTATAGTAACAATTTTTTAAAGGCATAACAATATCTTATAACTAAGTTTGATGGTTTATCTTATCTGATAAGTTGTACTTAAAAAAAAAAATCAATTTCTTTTGATAGGTGTGACTTTCATCTGAGTACTGAAATTTGATGCCAAGCATGATCATGATGTGCCAGAAGAGCCTCTTTTGGGAGATGACAAAGAATAAACAGCAGAATGAAATTGAAACAATCAACTGAATCAAGTCTCAGTTTAAGAAGATGATTTTAAATATATCATATTTAAATTTTGATTTGAGAAACAGACATAAATCCAAAAATATGATTATATCAATTGCTTTCAGTTTTTCAAGATAAATAGATTTTGTTGCAAAATCTAATATGTTTAATTTGGAATAAATGTTCTTTTAAATATTTGTCAGATCTTGCATGTTTACATCTGTATTGAGGTCTTCCGCTTCCAAGGGAAGACATACCAATTCTAATGGTAAAGATGATAGAGGTCTGTCTTCAGTGGCAATATATAAGATCTAATATGTGTATTTTTACAGTATAATTGAAGGAACATTGCTATCTTGGCATAAACAACTAAAGCATTAACAAATGTGCATGATTCAGAACAAAGGACATGTTATTTCAAACACAAGATCAAAGAGATGTCCAGTCACATTTCAAAGTCAACAAAGCACAAAATCTGTTTACAGTTTAGCTCATATGAGCTAAAGCTGTAGTAAAATTTTGAAAATCCACCCATTATCATCTTTATCTTAAATTCTTCAGAATTTCATTTCCTTCTCAGAACGACTGGACAAAGTTAAGTTAAACTTGGCACAGAGCATTCTTTAGTGTAGATTTCTGTGATTTAGTGATTTTCATAGGGTCACATTGACCAGCATTTTTCTCAAAATTGCTTTTAGACAGAAACATAATATTTTCAGTGATGATACAGCTTCATGTGCTGATGTGACACATACCTCTCTCTTTCTCCGGAAGTGCAGCATGTCGGCGCTCGCTATGGCTTGTAAAAAATCCCATCAGGGATTTAGAAAATGTTCACACCTTTTCTGCAATATCTTTTTACATGTTAATATTTTGTAAAGACATTAAGAACAAAAGTTGTGAAGAATATCACGATCTTTCAAAGGATTTCAACTATAAAGGGCTTGCCCCTATAATTAAGGACTTAGAGGGACCAAAATTTTTTCCTTAATATCTGAAAAAAAAATTTGAATTTGTAATACGTCAAAGAAGCAAAGTTGTTCAAAATGTCAAGCTTAATCTATTGAATTCGTCAAAATGCGTCTGGTGACGTTTTCCGGTCAAACCGAAAATCATCAGAAAGTGCATATTTTTGTCATTCTTGACAAGGTTTTGGGTAACATACAGTCAAGGGACATAATTATTCGCCACTTTCAAAATGGCCGCCAAAAACGCACGTCCGCTTTACGAAGTTTCTTTAATGTTTATGGTCGATAGAATTAAAATCTTACCTCAGTATTTGGTCAGATTTCCTTTCATTTTGATAACTTCCCTTACTCGTCCTGGAATGGAGCTATAAAGGTCTTGAATATAGTTTATCGGAATGTTTTCCCACACGGTCCGAATTTCAGCCATCAGATCTTGTTGCGAGTGTATGACATGAATACGAGATTCTAATGCTCTTTTCATACGTAACCAAATATTCTCAATAATGTTCAAATCTGGTGATTGTGCTGGCCATTTTGATGTATTAACATTGTTATTTACCATGTAATCTTTAACAATTTTTGCCCGATGAACAGGAGCATTGTCGTCCATGAAAACGTAATCGCTGTTTGGGAAATGCCTCGCAATAACTGGCCAAATATTGTCTTCAATAATTTCTAAGTATTTTTGAGCATTTATATTACCTTGTACATCAGTTAATGTGCCCACACTTTGATAACATACACATCCCCAGATCATGACACTAAGCCTTCGCCGCGGAGCAGGGCACACGAGCTGCGGGTTATATTTCTCGTCCGCTTTTCTCCACACATACACCTTCTTGTTGTCCCCAACAACGATTTGACTGTCATTGCTAAATATCCATTTACACCATTCTTGCTGAACTGTCCAATTTTTTCTATCCTTACACCACTTAATACGTTCTTTCTTGTTTACTTCACGAACTTGTACCTTCTTCTTTGAAACTCTCCTTACATAATCCAACTGTCTGATTTTTCTCTCCACAGTCTTTGTACAAAATTTACGATCCCTATTGTCATTAATTATGCCAGTAATATCTTTTTAAGTTTGTCGTCTGTTCTCCTTTATAACCCGAGAAAGTTTGTTAGTGTCTCTTTCTGTGAATAAAGACTTCCGGCCTCTTCCTGGACGATTTTTTACATCAAGATGTTGATTAAATTTCTTTATAACACTTCTCACCGTAGATCTGGGTATTCCTAAAGTCCTTGATAAATTTGACACATTTTTGTTAACTTTGAACGAGTTTATGATAAGTTCCCTGACTTCTACACTGAGTTCTTTACCCTTTCGACCCATTTCTAAACACCGGTGTTTACATTTAATATACTGACAGCAGACGACTAAAATATTGTGTATACGTCATCAATTTTAGTGTTACAACACAAAGATAAAAATAGATTGGGAAAATCTTTTGTCTAAAAATAGCGCTCAGCCCTACTTTACCGAACATGCGAGAAAACGTGACGCGATTTAGGCGGAAGTGGCGAATAATTATGTCCCTTGACTGTATATCACTGAAGGCATTAAACTTAATTTTTTGTCAATTCACATCACTTTTGGTCAAACCAGAAGTAGCCAAAAAAGCTTATTTTGAAGGTTTTGACTCAAAATTGAAATTATAAAGTCACTGGAGACAACTTAGCTCATTGCTTTCTTTTTTGTTGACGTCACTTCCGGTCAAAACAGGACGGAAGACCTACTCGTTGCTTTGCAACGAGCTTTGCTCTAGTTAAGGTCTTCCGACTTCCTTCGGAAGACCTTATTGTTTTCCTGCTGTTTTTTATTATTATTATTATTATTATTATTATTCTATTTTCATAGTACAGCCGATATCTCAGCTATGCGTGGACAGATTTCAAAGATTTTCTTAGGGGAGATGCATCATAAGAATATCTCCAGACGTGTTTTTCATTTTTTCGAAATTCACTTCCGTTCGCGATTTTTGGGGATTTTTGTATTTTTTAAAAGGCATTTTGTCCAGCAGTTTTCTCGAGAACGGCTAAAGATATGAAAGTGAAACTCGCTGAGGTGATAGATCATTGAACTCCATTATGGGCAACGACCTTTATTTTTCGTCGTCGGCACTTCCGGTCGTAAACGGAAGTGAATTCAAAAAGTCACATTTCTCAACTTTTTTGTGTTTCAATACTTTTCTTTAGTATTTACAGGGTTTATAGTGTGTGTTATGAGAATTCTAAATATATATTAAGTATCTCGATGCGTGCATATATTGAAAAGATATGACCAAACCAAACTTTGACCCAGTGTCGGGGGTTCGAATCCCGCTGTGGGCGTTTCAATTTTTTTTCTTTGTTTATTTCTTTTTTCAGTTCCAAATGGCTTTTATCTCTTTTATAAAACGTATGGAATATTTTGCCGATTTTTAAAAGCTATTTTTGAGATATTTTGAGGAATACCTGTAAATATCATGATGCATGCGGAGAGACTGCTGTGAATAAATGTAAACAATAAAATACATTCTGAAATCTATTTCATGGGATGTCGCATCATAGAACTCTAACGAAAAGTCGGTCGGAAGACCGCTTGTTGCTTTAGCAACAAGAACGCATCTAGTTATTATTATTTTTCTTCTTGGGAAAATTTTGTCCGCGAATGATCTTGTAAAGTACACATCCGATTAAGGGGAAACCTTTTTAGGATAAGTAGACATGTTATGTAGATATGCGGAACGAAGGTCATTTTGCGCGCACGTGCTTGCAAGAGCGCGCACGTGCAACACGTGAAATGACCAATATACTTGAAATTGCCGAAACTTTTACATTTTTTGATGTAATGCTTTGATATTTAGAATATATAGACATATTATGAATGTTGATAAGATGACATTGTCAACATGCCATTTTGCGAGCACGTGCTTGCAAGAGCGCGCACGTGCAACACGTGAAATGACCAATATAATGGATATAGCCGTAACTTTTCTATTTTTTGATGAAATCTTTTGAAATTTATAATGTAAGTATATATTAGTAGCGTAAACAAGTTGACATGATCAAAAAAGCAAGATCTCACGCGCATGCACGTGCGCTTCGCTCTGATTGGCTGAAACTAAAGTCTCTATATCTTTCTTGTTTTTCGACGAAATCCTATGAAATTTTGAACATAGCCATGCATTAAGATATCCTACAATATGATATATAGCAATTATCATGAAAACACGTGCATGCACGTGTGCTGCAATCTGATTGGCTTAAATTTTAAATAGCTATAACTCCTTTGGTTTTCAACTAAACAGGATGGAATTTGGAACATAGATAGATATAATGAACTTCTACAAGAAGGTATGGTCACAATGCACATGCATACACGTGCGTGTACGTTCGCTGTAATCTGATTGGCTGAAACTTTAAACAGCTATATTTCCCTTGGTTTTCAACCAAACGGGTTGGGATTTAGAACATAGATAGATGTAAGGGACTTCAACAAGAAGATATGGTCACCATGCTCATGTATGCACGTGCGTACACATGAAATGAGACAAATCAAAAATACACTTGAATGAGCGTATTTTTTAATACTTTTGGATTAAATACTTTAATATTTAGTATATAAAATATATATAGATTGTGTAGACAAGATGATATGGTCATTACGCACATGTATTCACATGCGCACGCTTGCAATGCTAAAATTTGAATGAACTTGGCGTTGTTAAAGTCTCAAATGCATATATTTTGTCCTATTTAATGAAGCTGTTACAGGGAATATGGCACCAAAAGGGAGTTGGGAGCGTTTGGGGAACATCTGTAACGGTTCCCGTTACAATTAGCACTAGTTTGTATTGTTTTATATAGACTCTTGATGTTGAATACTATTTGTTATCTCCATATGTTTCATCTTACTTTTCATACTTCTTTAACACCAACAAGTTAAAAAAGGTATTATAACTATGAGAAAAAATCCGCTTATTATTTAATTTTTCAACGTTCTTTCATATAAATTCTGAAATCGTCTATCATATCACAAATTATGTAATTGTTAAGGTTTATAAGACAATGTCATTTACAGTTGCTATGATGTTAATCTGGACTTTTACTTACCTCTCAGGAATGATAATTTTATTATTATCACATGTAAACAAATATTATTAGATTGAATTATTCGATTCATCATGATATAAAGTTGGAACAAAAAGGTATAATGCACTCTTCTAGAAAAAAATACCATGCAA